AGGACAATTTTAGTAAGAGACGACAGTTATAAGTCACGTAAACTGGACAAAGGCATCTTTCTATTTTAACATAGAGTAACATTTTGAGCATGCACCGACATTAGCAGCATGAAAATCTTGGGCCACCACCTATTTCTTTATATTTAGCTTCTAAGGAGACCGAATTTCTTATATATTTTTAATTAAATTGTCTCTTTGTTACTAGCACCTTGTTGCAAAAGCACATGATTCATTCCTAACTCTTTAGTTAAACCTGTGGCAAATGTAACACAGGTTTAAGGGCACTGAATAGTATATTTACACCAACAAACTGATCCCAAGGTATTAGCAAAAAAATGGCATATTTCAGCATGGTGTGGTGCATTCTTAAAAGAGGAAATTGGACTAAAGAAGTGGCAGGCCAGTATCTGAAAATAATGTCCTTAAGAAGTAGGACAAAAAAAGAGGAAGGACCTGACACAGGACAGGACAGATGCTTCTTGCCCTTCAGGCGATCCTTCAGTTTACAAAAGTGTCATAAGAAATGTTGTGAGTGGACAGATGTCTGACTGTCAAGAAGCCATTCCTCAGAAAAGGCTGGTGTATGTTGAATTACATAAGAACTATACTAAAAATCTGTGTCAACATGGCTTATGGAGTGATGACATTTTTTTGGCTCAATTGTTTTTAAAGTGTAGGAGGTCAGGAAAGAGGTACAGTTAGCTGAGTGCCTGCAGCTAACTGTAAGATACGGTGGGAGCTCTGTCACGTTGATATTTCAGCTACTGGTGTTGTGAATCTTATCAAAGTTGATGTTATTATGAACACAGTGAAGGTACTGTCAGATTTTGGTCAGTCATGCAATAACATCTGTTGACTGTTTCATATTTCAGCATGAACTCCAAGATACTATAACTACACCAGAGTACCTGGATAGAAAATAAACACACAACATTATTGAAGCATTATCATGGGATCCGTCCTGACAGAGAGTGGAGCAAAAGGAGTCAACATTAAAAAATAAAGTATTGATGCATGCTCAATCATCCAGGAAAGTAAATCCCAAAAGGTTGATTCTGTTCACCTGGACGTAGTGTTGTTAGTGGAAGAAAAAAGAAATCTCCCAGTAAAAACGATACGTACAGATGAACAGAATCAACCTTTTGGGATACAAAAACAGCTTTGAATGTCCTTCAAGAAACTATTCTTCGAAAACTTGAAAACTGCTTAAAGGAATTACTAGAAAGTTTGATGTGAGTTTAGGCTGAAGGCATAGCAAATATTAAGACTCTTAAGAATACAAACGCAGTTGTTATATAAAAAAATAGTGGGTGGCTCAAGGCTTTGACACAGAACTGTATATTATTATTGTCATTATTAGCAGTAGCAGTAGTTATAGTAGTATTTCAGTAGAACTACACTTGAGCACCAAAGGTTTTTTGATAAGTTGAATAAAAACTTTAAAAAAAGTGCTCATTTTTTTTATGGAATGTTTGCGTTGATATGTTTGTTATATTTGTGACAGTGTCAGTGTAATTCATGATAAGAAATAAATATTCCTTTAGGTTTATTTGTGTTTTACTTCTATTTTCGTTTTATATGAATATGGTTTTTGGAAAAAGTTTTAGCCTAGATGGGCCAGGAACCATACAGGGCAAGTTCGGTGACCTCGGTCTACAACATAAAATGTAAAGAAAAGAGAGTATGCACAAAACTAAATTAAAAATCCTCTAACACCCTTAAAAACACTTGAGGGTTGAAATGTTGACTTTCGAAGTTTTTCAGTAAATGCCCTATAAAGGATTAAAATAATCAAAGTTAGCTTTATTTAGGACCGGACTTCTTATGATAGTTAAACTT